TAGCCCTGGTTAATGCCGTTCTCGCAGACTTCAGCGGGAGAAGGATTAGGACTTGGCGGAGAAACAGAAATCCCAGTAGTTCTTTTCTGGATGATCTGACATGTCGTATGATAGCGGGTCTGGGAAAGATAGTCGCCACAAAGAAAGGACACAGCTTTCTGTTGTGGGATCTCAAGAGATGAGAGAACCTTTTCAGTGTTTTGACTCAAAAAGGGACTATTTATAAAGTCGAATAAACGATGAATCTTCTGACAAAGGAGAAATACCACAGTTTTAAAAATCCTTTTGCTATGTACATGGCTTTAAGAGAGAAATTCACCGCATTTTTTAACAGCAGTGTGTTGAAGCGCAGAGGTGTACCTTCGGTGCTTGGTAGCATGGACTCTGGCTGCTCTGATCAGAAGGGAGTGTAGCTGAATTTCACTTCTGATTGTTATTGTGTATATTTTTTGCAAAAGTTGGGGCCTTTCTGTATATTTACCTCATGCTTATTTGCTCTTTATACCGTGTATTTTTGCACTTGTTATTTGCATTTGTTATTTTATGGTAAATAGGTCAAAGTTGCATGATAACATTAATGCGTTTTTTCTGAAGTGTTTCAACTCTCCAGATAGGAAAGTAAAACCGAGTCTTGCTAACACTTTTCACATGCTTCACATTAAGCATAAGGACATAATCACTCTGAGTGGCAGTATTTGTACATTTAAGATCGAGCATGGGCGCGTATGCATAGATGCCTAAATTGTTCTTCCCTTTGATGATTTCCTTGGATCAAACCTTATCCTTGCTGCAGTCATCCTGAATTTTTGCTACAGATTTCAGACAGGCTGCTTATAATCAAGGTGTCAGCCGTATTATTCTCTCTGCGAATTCACTGAAGACCAGAATAAAAAGCAACTAAACCATTGGGTATTGCAATGGCAGAACGTGTTGTTAAAGGAAAAGAGCAGCTGGTAGCACAGTTCAGAAGATCCAAAGTCTGCAAAAACTAGCTACAACTAGTCCAGTCTAAGAACTGAGTTGTGCATAAAAGAACAAAGGGACAAAATGGAGCTTGAATTTTGTGTATTCCTGTTCAGTTTTATCTAGGTATGAAAACCAGATCACTATTTTATCAGACTACTTAGAAGAATTTCCAGAAACTGATGAGCCAGTTTGGATTCTGGGAAGGCAACACCACCTAAAAGCAGGTATCTTTAAAATGAAAATTCGTCAGTAAAATCCATACAGCATTCACAAATTCACATGGAACAGCAGCTCCTTATATTCTTCCATGCTCTAAATGTCTCATGAAAGAAATCTGATTTTCTCTGCAAACAAGAAACCAAATATAACCCGTGGTATTCATCCTGATATGAAACCAGAAGCTTACCAAAATACTTGCTATAACGGCTCATGCAAAGAGGTCATACTTGTGACAAAGGCTAGTCATGAGGCTGCTTGATTCTAGTACTCAAATGCTTCAGAAATAAATAAATTTGGGGGAAAATTCAGTATAACTAATGTTATTTTCCCTTGAGGGGGGCCTGTCCCTTTCTCTGGGGAGCATCATCTTGTGCCCATGTCAAAGGCAGTGGCCATCAATACAGGCATGGTATTAAAGATCGCTGCGGGTATTGTGTATAGCCTCAAGTGGCTGAAGGATCCTGCGAAGGTCAGTCAGTCTGATCCATAGCTAAGAGAAAATGCAAAAAATAAGATCCTTAAGAATTCTTGAGAGCCTTTGAGAGAATTCTGTCAGTGTATAAATTAAAAAAGAGAGAAATTTAATGAGATGTAATATGCTTAACCTTTTTTTAAAATGAGGTAATACTGGGTTTAGAAGTAATATGTAATTTCATGTTCTTTTTGCATGCAGAAATTCTTCAAGTTTCTTAACTTGCTTTACCGGTTCTTTCCAGAGGATATAATTCTCCATAGTTGTTTCATTCAAGCTGGGCATAGTTATTCCAAACACTTTTAAGATCTTCACTGGCTAATAATTATTTCATCCTTAATAATTTAACTTTAATTAGCATTCTAAAAGCACTTTCAGTATTAAAACGGCTAAAAGCAAGTTTTAAGGGATTTTATGTGTAAAAGCTAACAGGAATCTCCTATGCGCTCTGTATATTGCATATGTAGAGGAAATTAGATTTTTTACCAGTTTTAGAAGGTTTTTTTTAATACTTGCTTTCTTTTTTAAAATATTCCAGACAAGTCTAAATTATTATTGGATATAAGTGCTCGTCTCTGGTTTACGTATAGAAGAAAATTTTCACCTATTGGTGAGTATACTGCAGCACTGCTGCCTTGTTACAAATTACATCGCAGGATTAGTGATGTTATTGTGGACTGAAAAATGATTTTTACAACATCAGAACATTTTGAGTATCGTTTTACTGTTTGTGCAAACAAAATATTAAGCATATTAAAAACTGTGTTTACTTGTACCTGGAGATAATCAGGTCTTTGTATAGCAAGCAGTAAACAGTTTGTGAATGTTACTTGAAGAATGAAAAGTAAGTCAGCTGTACAAGCTGACATTAATTTAATAAATTAAATATGTTTTATTTGTGCAATTTAGAAATTAGAAGTCAGACAAACAATAAGGGAAAAAAAAGTCTTGCTCCAGTGTCTTTTATCCATCGGACAGTTAGAGATTTTCAGATGGCTAGTTGGATTCTAGCAGCCTGAAATTTTCTCTGTGATGCTACATTCAATTTAAAGGCCATATTATTGTAATGAACTTTTCTTACAGGTGGCACTGGTCCTTCATCTGATGCTGGCTGGGGATGTATGCTGCGGTGTGGACAGATGATGCTGGCACAAGCACTGATCTGCAGACATTTAGGAAGAGGTGAGTGCTGCTGCTGAATGAGCATTTGTATTGTTTGCACAGCTTTGAATCTTTGTTGTAGTTTTCCATAAGTGCACAAAACCTAAATTTATTAACGAAACTCTCTTTGATGCCCTGATAAAAGTTATGTGAATAATTCTTGTGCAGCTGGGCCAAATCACAACCTTAAGCAGAGAAATAGGAATAGAGGGAGCACAAATAGGGAATGCCATTGTCATGATTTTGTCAATCTTTCTGAGGAATAATCAAATTGAAGCCGAGGGGAAGCCTGCTGTCATGGGACTGAGTTCTTATTCTTGTCTTCACTGCTTACATAGTGACTAAATAATTGCACACAATAACTGTGTGAATAGTTACACGGTGATGGACATCACACCTAGTACTTCACAGACTGCTCGCCTGTCTGCAGCCTGAGGTCCAAACCCCATGGCAGAACCTACTAGTGCAAGCGCTTAAGCCTCTATGAACGTTTCACATTCTGGGATGAGAGGCAGAGCTTCTTAGGTCTGGTAGCTGCTGTAGGTCTGGTGTAGCTGCTGTATCAATTAAATCATTATGGTTAGATTATTCTGTAATTCTTATCCTATTGTGCTGTGGTTAATATGGCAGTATGCTGTGTGGATTTATCTACTTGAATAACTGAATCCACAGAATGGAGGTGCAAGGATCTAACTGAAAGAGTATGGAACCAAACAAATTACCATGAAGAAAAACTAGAGTATGAAGTTGTTGTATGCATTTACTCTGTAATATCTGCCCTATGCATGCACTTCTCTAGCAGTAAACGTGAGGTAGCTACCTTATGTTAGAGGTGAGCGCGTACATGGCATAGCTGCGTTCAGATTTTGCTCTGTGAGAGGGCTACCGCTGTGTTTGGACTTTGTTTTATGGATTATATCTTATGTTCTGATGTATGCTTGCAAATCTAACACAATCTAAAAACAGCGTATAGTTTTAAATGATCTTGTCAGCTCATAGATATGGCAAGAGCTATCAGTTTTCAGAAGTGATCAGTCAGTATATGGTTCATGTATTTTCAGTTGACCTTTTTTTTCGTTTTCCCAGTTTTCACGGTCTATTCTATGACAATAAAGGTCAAGTTGTTGATAAATGGCAAACTGTGAATTCTAGGAACTATAAACAAAATGTAAATAGTAGAGATAAATTGTACATTACTCTTTTGACATTTCATTGATATTTCACTGTATGGCTTTCTACTGCTGTCTAGTAACTTTGATGGAAATGATGGAAGCATTGTTATTTTTAATCCATATAACTTTTTCCATAAGACTGGCAATGGGAAAAACACAAAAAACAACCGGAAGAATATCACAGAATCTTACGATGCTTTTTAGATAGGAAGGATTGCTGTTATTCCATCCACCAGATGGGTAAGAACATATATCAACTTTTTGTTTTTCCACTGAAATTCCTACTGGGTTGAAATTTACTAGTTTTATAATACGTTAATTCATAATTTTAAAATGGTGATTATGAAGACAGTGTATGTAAGTTTATATAGAAGTAAAAACGCATGCAGATGAGTACAAAGTAAAATAGTACATAAGTGTTATTCACAGAGATGTAAATAAAGCCATATACTAGAATCTAGCTCTTGATAAAGTATATAAATCTTGGGTACCAGACTCATTAATACTAAAATAGACATTCTGGCAGTTTACAGGTGTATTCTGTAATGCAGATCACTAATATTTTTAAGTTTTACATAGTTTAGAAAGTCTTTGTTTGTTAAAGGAACTAGCAGCCGTGAAGTTTTAAAAAGAGCATAGACTGAGAAAGTAATTATTGCTAAATAGAGTTTGCAGTCGCTGTATAAGATACAACAACGTTATTTAATATATATTGTTACCAGACTCTTTGTGGTCTTTTTTCTGTGTGTGTGTGTATGTGTGTGCTTTTCCCCTCATAAAAACAGCGCAGATGGGTGTTGGAGAGGGGAAATCAATTGGAGAATGGTTTGGACCAAATACAGTTGCTCAAGTACTAAAGTAAGTCAAATCTACTAGCTTATTCAGCATGTACTTGCCCTGCGCAGCTTGGCTCAAAGGCCATGATAAAGCTGAATATCACGAGGGAGCTGCACTTCCCCCCGTCTCAGAATCAGGAACATATATATATATATATGTACCATGCAGTTACACGGACAGTGAGGACCACGACACTGTAGCCCCGTGGGCAGGTACTGAGTGGGGAATGGGCGAATTCTAAGTTTGAGTAAGAGCTGGAAGAAGGTCTCTCCTGCTATGCCATCTGCATGCCCTAACCGGTGACCACCACCGATGTGTACTCCTTTCTACGTAGCGGCGCTGCTTTGACAGGTTGAGTGCCACCACTCACATTAGAGCGCTGGTATGAATCATGAGAAGGAAGCCTAGAGGGGCCAAGGAGGGAACTGAACTGGGATTTCTCACTTTCTGAACAGCAGTTCTGCCTACAAGGCAGCTGTATAAACGATGGGTAGCTCTTTGTAGGCTAGAAGACACGTTTGAAAGCATAGAGTTGACTTTGCCCAGTTCTCTGAAGTATGATTTAGAGGTGCCTAAGCTCAAGTGAAGGCTGGAGTACAGGTCCTGAGTGGTCAGCAGCAAGTGTTTGCAACCCTGGGTCAGACGCACGTTCTGGAGGGCGAAAAGAGCTAAAACATGCCCTGGCCTCCAGCTCTTTTCACTGACAAGTTCTTCACGGCTTGGTGCTCACATACAGATTTTTCTGGCTTGTTTTAGACACCTAACTTTGCCTGCGCAGTTTAGGGAGCGTAGCTGCCTTCCCTCAAGTTTTGGGTTTCACACACATGAACAGACGCTTGTGTGCTATAACGCCTCCCTCCTAACTGTTAGGTGCCCATAACCTTCAGCTG